GATATACATGCATTCAGCTTTTAAATGCCCAGTCAGACAAAAATCAGATTATGATGCTGGTTAATTTGGAACATGACAAGCCAGGTCTGCCATGCCACCAACGGAAATGTTGGAATAATCTGTGGTTCCATAAATCAAAGGACAAGAATAAGACTCAACAGAAAAAGCATTCACAATATAAAATTTACAGTAGAAAAGCCCTGAAAAGTATGAGGGGGTTTTTTAGAAGCAAGCAGACCTGTAATTTACACATTTTATAATTCCCCCAAGACAAAAAAAATTTTTTAAAAGTGCTCAGTGTTCTGCTTTGGCTGCATAACCTGTTAAAAAAGCAGAGGTGAAAGTGCCAGAGACCCAGAGAGAGAGCATGAACCTAGGGGCTTGGAGGGAGGGTGGGAGGAGAAAGGGAGTGCTGTGATTATTTAGAAAGTTGATGTGAAACAGACCTGACCAGGATTGAACCCTGTCAATAAGGTCTTGTTCTTCTCACCCAGGCCGTTTCTCAAACTTTCCAACCACACTGGAACATTCTGAACCAGCAGTGGCATTCACTTCCTTTGCACTTCCTTTCCAGGTCTATCAAGTGATAGGGCATGGTTTTACAATGAGTGGGAAACAGGCAGCAAGTGCGAATGCTACTGGTTTCTGGCTTTAACACAGCACAGCTGATTTACTGTCTGGTAATCTCACACAATGCAGATTGATGTGGTCCTGCTCCGAGATACAGTATCACAGTTAGTCCTAAAGTTTCTCATTTCCCTTGCCCCCCGACCCCCCCCCCTTTTTTTTTTCAGTGTGGTAGCTGTCAATGAATGCTGTAATCAGAACAGTGATTAAACTGTCATAAAAGTTTACAACTTGCTAGGTACAGTAAAGTTTCAATCTTTTTTCCTAATTAGATTGAGGAGCAAAGGATATTAAATGGCCGAACAAAAGCGGATACCTTCCACTCCACAAACAATTAAAAATTGGGAGCTCTATTTACTGAAAAAACTGGAGGGAATATTTAAGGAAATAAATGTTGAACTATATAAGCTTGGTTTTTCTGACTGTTTTCAGCTTTTGCTTTCTTTGAGTCACATGCCCACCAACCACATCCATTCTTACCATGCATTAGACTAGAAGTGGTGTGGAACAATACAAAGATGATGACTCAGTGCAAGAAACTGAGTAAGGTCTGGGTTCCCCCCGCCCCAATTTAAAACTATTATTTATAGGGCAATCCTGATCCTAATTCCTAATCCCCAAATGTGGGGACTAGCCAATTCTGGTCAATGGAAATCAGATACAGAGCGTTTAGTCTAGATCATCTGTTCAAACCGAAATCCAGGTGAAGATTGAACAAAAGTTATTGATGTCTGTCTTTGCTGTCAGATCACTGCACTTTTGTCCTAGTGGACTTCTGGCCCTCTTGTAACTGACACCAGATTTAGGTATTTTAAGCCAAAAAGCCCCAAG